TGCGCTCCAGCCTGGACTACAGAGTGAAATCCTGACTCAAAAAAAGCAAAAAGAAAAGAATCTTCATCTCAAAAATAAATAAGGTAAAATAAAATAAATAAAATTCAGAATAGACTCGGTGGCTCAGCCTGCAATCCCAGCACTTTGGGAGGCCAAGACGAATAGATGGCCTGAGCCCGTGGGTTTGAGACCCACCCGGGCAAATTGGCGAGACTTCATCTCTACAATAAATCAAAAATTAGCCAGGTGTGGTAGCGTGCGTCTGTAGTTCCAGCTACTTGGAAGACTGAGGCAAAGGGATTGCCAGAACCCAGCAGGTCGAAGCTGCGGTGGCCAGGAGCATGCCACTGCATTCAAAGTGTAGAATTATTCAGTATTTGCCCTCCTTAGCACAAGAAATTGTGCATGGCCAGTCCGAAGGTGGTGAGTTATCCCAGCTGATTGTTCAGTCAGTCACAGATTGAACTCCTTGTTCTACTCTTTCCCCCCTTTTCTCTACTACACTTGATACTTGACTAGTCTAAAAAAGAAGAAATTGTAAACCGGGCTCGGTAGCTCAGCCTGTAATCCCACGCCTTTGGGAGGCTGAGGTGAGTGGATTGCCTGAGCCCGCGGGTTCGAGACCTGCCTGGGCAACTTGGCGAGACCTCATCTCTACAACAAATCAAAAAATTAGCCAGGCATTGTAGCGTGTGCCTGTAGTACCAGCTACTTGGAAGGCTGAGGTGGAAGGATCGCCGGAGCCCAGCGGGTCGAGGCTGTGGTGGCTGGGAACGGCCACTGCACTTCAGTCTGGGCAGCAGAGTGAGACTCCAACTCAAAAAAAAAAAAGAAAGAAATTGTACACATTTTACCTGCATGACCAACACTCTCCCCCCCTCACTGTTCCCGTAGCTTACAATATTATTATGGATACATGCTTGTCCTCCATCGTTCTTGTTATCCCACATATTCTCTCTAGGTTCACTTTTTGCTGATGCATTTTCTTTAGTAGTTTTTCTTTTATTGAGGGGGGTGGTATTTTTGCTTGCTGAATTTGGGACTTTTACCCTCCCCTTCCTTTGTGCCTCCGTCCCTGTCGAGTTTGCAATTGCTGGAAGACCAGAATTAGGTCCTGTGACAGCAGTTTCAGTCTATCACAGAGCCAGCAGGTAACTTGGTTCAGTGCTGGCCTCAGCTGGCCACTGCAGTGGGCAGCATTTTTTTTTCCAGCCTCTTTTCACAGGCTAGAGAGCCCCTGACCCTGGCTCCAAGCAGCAAATTTGGGTCCCCTGTTCAACAGACTTCTACCCCTATGGTGATCCTAGGCCTTCCCCAGCGAGCCCTCTGCTTTGGCCACCCTCATACTTGTGTTTGTGCTCTTTAGGCCAAGAATACTGCTGGCCTGCATTTTGAGCCATTTGTGTCCATTTTGCATTCTCTTTGTATTTTTCAGTATCATTGCTATGTGTTTGGAGCAGAAAGCATGAATTTACTGCCTCATCTTGACTGTGACAGAAGAATGGAATTATTTTGAGAATAAGAAAATAAAAACTATTTTCATTAGCAAAGTGAAAAGGCTCAAATGTAGGACCCGTTGTTGAAGCTTTAAATGAAATAGGTGTGTGAGCCAGGCTCGGTGGCTCAGCCTGTAAATCCCGCGCCTTTGGGAGGCCAAGGTGAGAGGATTGCCTGAGTCCAGGGGTTTGAGACCAGCCTGGGCAACTTGGTGAGACCTTGTCTCTACAATAAATAAAAAAATTGGCCGGGTGTGGTGGCATGTGCTTATATAGTTCCAGCTACTTAGAAGGCTGAGGTGGAAGGATTGCCTGGGCCTGGCAGGTCGAGGCTACAATGGCCATGAGTGTGCTACTGCACTCCAGCTTGGGCGACATAGTGAGACTCTGACTTAAAAAAAAAAAAGAAAAAGAAAAAGAAAAAAGAAACCATAAACTAGAGGCACTTGAAAGAAGGGAAGAGCCGGGCTCGGTGGCTCAGCCTGTAATCCCGCACCTTGGGAGGCTGAGATGAGTGGATTGCCTGAGCCCGCAGGTTTGAGACCCGCCTGAGCAACTTGGTGAGACCTCATCTCTACAATAAATCAAAAAAAATTAGCCGGGCGTGGCAGCATGTGCCTGTAGTTCCAGCTACTTGGAAGGCTGAGGTGGAAGGATCACCGGAGCCCAGCAGGTCAAGGCTGCAGTGGCCGGGAGCAGCTATTGTACTCCAGTCTGGTCGACAGAGTGAGACTCCAACTAAAAAAAAAAAAAAAAAGAGAGAGAAATAGGTGTGTAAATTGCTACAGCCTTTCTGGGAAGCAATAATAATGAATGTCAGAAATCTTCTCAGAAATTGTTCTTACCTTTTGAGATTCTTGATACATTAAATGAAAATAAACAGGTTATAGAGCATTATATCTATATATATATCTATATATCTCTCTCTCTCCATATATATACATATACACATCTATATAGAATGTGGTACATTTTTACACACAACATATATGCATGTGGAAAACTCAAAGAACATGCAAAAAGTATTAACAGTGATTACCTCTGGGTGGTGGGATTTTAGGTGAATTTAATTTTTTTACTTTTTAAACATCTTAATAAAATAATAATGTATTATTTATATAATTCAAGAAATGTATTCCTATTCTGACACATTTTTTATTTCCATAATTTTACCCTAAGAAAATGAACTAAACAGAAATTTATGTGCAAGGATTTTCATTAGAATAATTTACAACAGCTAAAGTAGGAACTAATATTCAGTAGCTGAATAATATATTACTAAAGAACAGTATTGTACTGGACTGTAAAATCACAGTTTTGAAGGATATGTGGTGAAAATGCTGCAAAAGAGGGGAAAAGGCAGAAATATGAAATTGCACATAAAATTTTAATATTTTTGGTAGTCCCTTGGAAAATTAAAAATTAATAGAAAAATATGGTTTGTAAAAAAATCAAATTGGCGATAAAGAAGTAATTTCTGTAGGTGTCTGTCTTATTAAATGAATGCTGAAAGTCATTGAAAGATTAGGCCTATGCTGGGCATGGTGACTCACGCCTGTAATCCCAGCACTTTGGGAGGCAGAGGTGGGAAAGGATTGCCTGAACCCACGGGCAACCAGCCAGGGTTGGTGAGACCTTATCTCTACAATAAATCAAAAAATTAGCCCGGTGTAGTGGCAGGCACCTGTAGTCCCAGCTACTTAGGAGACTGAGGCCAAAAGATTGCCTGAGCCCAGCAGGTCGAGGCTGTGGTGGCCGTGATCATGCCATGGTGGGAGCGGCCACTGCACTCCAGTCTGGGCGACAGAGTGAGACTCCTACTCCAAAAAAAAATAAAAAATAAATTAAATAAATAAATAAAAATCAAACCTGAATAACAAAAAAATAAACATTTCCCCCATTAGGTGGGAAGGACAACCCATACCATTTCTTTTATTATTTGATAGTGGTTGTTACCTTCCTAGATTACATAATTCAGTGGATTTGGGCATAGTGTGCTAGCTTGCCTCCCATGAAACATCCCTGTTGTGTTGTATATGAGAGGTAGTAGCAAAGCAATTAAGAACAGGCTCTGGGCTGGGCTTGGTGGCTCAACCTGTAATCCCGGCACTTTGGGAGGCTGAGGTAAGAGGATTGCCTAAACCCGGGGGTTTGAGACCAGCCTGGGCAACTTGGTGAGACCTCGTCTCTACAATAAATCAAAAAATTAGCTGGATGTGGTAGCATGTGCCTGTAGTTCCAGCTACTTGGAAGGCTGAGATGGAAGGGTTGCCTAGGCCTAGCAGGTCAAGGCTGCGGTGTCTGTGAGCATGCCACTGCACTCCAGCCTGGGCAACAGGGTGAGACTCCAACTTAAAAAAAAAAAAAGAATAGGCCCTGGGCAGGGTGCCGTGGCTTAAACCTATAATCCCAGCACTTTGCAAGACAGAGGTAAGAGGATTGCCTGAGCCCAGGGCTTCGAGATCAGCCTTGGCAACTTGGTGAGATCACGTCTCTACAATAAATCAAAAAGTTAGCCGGGCATGTGCGCCTATGGTTCCAGCTAGTTAGAAGACTGAGGTGGAAGGATAGCCTGACCCCAGAAGGTTTAGGATGCAGTAGCCATGATGGTGGGACTGCACCGCAGCCTGGGCGACAGGGTGAGATTCTGATTCAAAGAAAAAAAAATAGAATATAGACTCTAGGCCAGGCCCAGTGGCCACACCTATAGTCCCACCTACTCAGGAGACTAAAGAAAAAGGATCGCTTGAGCCCAAGAGTTTGAGGCTCCACTGAGCCATGATTGCACCACTGTATTCCACCCTGAGTGACAGAGTGAGACCCTGTCTCTAAAACATATATATATATACTCTCTAAAACATATGTGTGTGTGTGTATATATATATATGTATATATACTCTAAAGACCAGGCATGGTGGCACATGCCTGTAATCCCAACACTGGAGGCCAAGGTGGGAGGATCATTTGCGCTCAGGAGTTTGAAACCAGCCTGGGCTTCACAGCAAGACTCCACCTCTACCAAAAAATAAAATATTAGCTAGGCATGGTGACCACACCTGTAGTTCTTAAAAAACAAAAAACAATATAGGCTCTAGAATCAATCATATGGCTCTGGGTTCAAATCTCAGCTGTACTACCTACTATTATCTGAGATTGATGAGTTTTCTCACCTATTTTTTAAAAAGCAATGATAGTACTTAACTCACAGGGTTGTTGACATTGAGATGATGCAAGTAACTGTTCTTCCATGTCCTGATATCCTATGGTGAGTGCACTAGAAACCATTAGCCTCATCTGCTGTAATCACAGGGGAATAAGTGTGAGGTGGAAAGGGGAAGGCAGTGATTGGAGGCCAATCCAGAGAGGTTCGTGGGTTACAGGAAGAAGCCAGATAAGGTTATAGCTTGAAGTATATTAGTGGGAGGAAGGATTCAAGGGATATGAAAGTAAGGGAAACAGCTCCAGTGCAACTGTTCTGTAACTGGTTCTCTTTGATTCTTCTAGAGAGCCATGTCCTGCCACCGCAGCCAGCTCCTCTGGTTCCGCCGTCTCTACATTCTCTTCTCCCGGTACATGAGAGTCAACTCACTGCGCTTCCTCTGAAGCCTTGAAGGGTTTTCAGATCCAAGGAACAAAGTGAGGGAAACAGACCAGGCAGCACAGGAGACATAGCCTGGGACTGGTTCATTTGCCTGAGCCAAAGGAGAGCCCGGCTAGAGCAGCCTCTGCAGAAGCAGAGCCATGTAGGCCAGGGGCTGTCCAAATTTCAGTTTCTTCCTCTGGGAAAAAACCCAAAGAGCCAAAAACAAATCAACCCAAGGATAATAATAGCTACCGTGCTAGCTTCTCAAGTTCTTGTGAAAAACAGTTTGCATAATGTCAGTGTCTGTGGAACACCTAGCACAGAACCTAGGCAGGTCCCTAGTATCATAAATGAATGTACAAGTGCTTTAAAGACACTCCACAGATGTGATTTTTGCATTGTCTTCAAAGCGGGCTCACCCAAAACATATAGACACACAGAATGGGACAGTCTATGTTGAATTAGTTCAACTATGATTCCTTTTATTTTTCTTTCTGGCCCGTTTATCAGAACATGAATCTAGGAAAAGCTTGCCCTATTTAACATGACAGTTGTTGATGGGAGCACCCGAATGCAGATTACTGAGGTGAGCACTGTGAGATGATTACGTGGCCCTGCCTCAAAGGGCTTACAATCAAATATCTCAGCTCTTAGTTTTCTGAGAGAAGTAGGAAATATAAAGAAAAATCTGGGCTGGGCTCAGTGACTCAGCCTGTAATCCCAGCACTTTGGGAGACCAAGGCGAGTGGATTGCCTGAGCCCGCTGATTCGAGACCGGCCCAGGCAATCTGGCAAGACCTCATCTCTACAATAAATCAAAAATTAGCCTAGCATGGTAGTGCGCACCTATAGTTCCAGCTACTTGGAAGACTGAGGCGGAAGGATCGCCGGAGTCCAGCAGGTCGACGCTGGAGTGGCCATGAGTGTGCCACTGCACTCCAGCCTGGGTGACGAAGTGAGACTCCAACTCAAAAAAAAAAGAAAACTCTGGCTTTTTTTTTTTATGTTCAAGAACCTGATGTCTTAATATTGTCCTACAAACAAAAGCTCTCTCAAGGTCTGGCTTGGAAACTACTCTCACAGTCCAGCGAATGGTCCAGAGACACGGACTGAGGCAGGGAAATTCACCCTGTGTTTGAAGCCAGAATGACTAGCAACGTAACCATAGGTAAGGTGCTGAGCCTTTCTCTGCCTCAATTCTCTCATCTGCAAAATGGGGGATAATAACAATCCCAACTTCAGAGAACTGAACGAAATGCGGCTTGCAGCTGCATTACCCCAAGAGCATTACAGGAAACCCAGAGTTGCTTTCTTCATAGCAGCAGATTAGAGACCTGCTTGTTCAGCCTCTCCACCCAATCTTGCTCCACTTTGCCTGAATGCCTCCTAGGGCCCACATGAGACTAACAGAGCTATTAGGCCTTGAAGCTGGAATCAGAAATGCAAACCTGGTTATGTGATTTGTCTACTTAAAATTTGTCAGAGTCGGGCTCGGTGGCTCAGCCTGTAATCCCGCGCCTTTGGGAGGCTGAGGTGAGTGGATTGCCTGAGCCCGCGGGTTCGAGACCCGCCTGGGCAGCGAGACCTCATCTCTACAATAAATCAAAAAATCAGCTGGGCGTGGTAGTGCATGCCTGTAATTCCGACTACTTGGAAGGCTGAGGCGGAAGGATCGCCAGAGCCCAGCAGGTCGAGAATGCGGTGGCCGGGAGCAGCCACTGCACTCCAGTCTGGGTGACAGAGTGAGACTCCAACTCAAAAAAAAAAATTTGTCGGTAACTCATATTAGCCTTGCTATGAAAGCATGACCAGCAGCAAGCCACTAACACTGGCTAGAGTGTGGCAGGGCAGGCTGACTTCTGTCCTGGCACTAGAAAGACAAATAAATAAATAAATAAATAAAAATAATAAAATAAAATAAAATATGCATACTTTATGACCTAAGGAATATTTAGAAAATCAGGTATATACACAAAGAGTATCGCTGTACTATTTATAACAGCAAAACTGGAAAAATTCAGTGATGCAATTATATTTTGTAACAAGGAAAAATGTTCACACTATACTAAGTTTGTTTTTGTTTTTTTTTTGAGTTGGAGTCTCACTCTGTCACCCAGACTGGAGTGCAGTGGCCGCTCCCGGCCACCGCAGCCTTGACCTGCTGGGCTCTGGCGATCCTTCTGTCTCAACCTTCCAAGTAGCTGGAACTACAGGTGCATGCTACTACATCCGGCTAATTTTTGGATTTATTGCAGAGATGAGGTCTCGCCAAATTGCCCAGGCGGGTCTCGAACCCGCGGGCTTAGGCAATCCACTCACCTCA